GGTAGAGCAGGTCTTTGGTTGAGATTTAAACTATAACCTCCCAGAAGTGAAGAAAGAGCGCTGAATCTTACACTGCAACAGCTTTTGGATGAAGGTTATTATGAATGACAAGATCGATTTTACAAAAATTTTGGGACAGAACTTTCTTCTTATACATATAGAGAGATTAATATAATTTACAAATTAACCTATACATGTGACCTATGTACAGCAGTGTACAATAATGGATGGTTAATAATTGCACAACTATGTACTGTATCTTTGTGCAAAAGTACCACAAGTCAATCAAGCAATCAGTCAATTTATTTGTTCCAAGGATCCATATTTGGTGATACAACCTCCAGATATAGAACAAGCCAGTAACTACATATTAATGTAACATAAATATCGTACATAAGTCAACTATACTATAAAACTAACTACCTACAGATTTCATACACATCACAATCATACAATACATCATCCAACTTGCAACAGTTCAATAACCAAAAGAAACCCTGCATCCCAAATTTTTTTTATAGATTGAGGACAAGATATTTCTCATAAAACCATAACACACTCACTTAAGAATTAAAGTACATAAATTCATGAATGGAATAAATGGAATGTTTCAACAGAAAGGATTTTAATTCCCTCTTAAAAGAGTTAACATTTTTCTTTAATTTTATCTGCTCAGGGACCTTCTTATACAAGGTGATTCCCATATTTATAACGCTTTTTTTAAAAAAAAAGAACTGTATTGCAATATTTTAAATGTAAATTTAATTTTCTTCATATATTGTAATTATGGATGTCCAAATTTTTTGCCATAAAGTCTTTATATTTTTTAATAAAACATATCACTTCAAGTATGTATAGCTCAGCCAATGTTAAAATATTATAATCTTTAAAAATTTGTCAGCATGATGTTCGAAGTCTGGACTTCCTGTGCTGGAATGCAACATTATAGGTCCATGTTGTTATGTTCAATCTTCTATGGCCAGGGTCTCCAAACTTTTTGAACCGCGGGCCACATTAGGTAATTCAGCACTTTCAACGGGCCAGATAAAATGAGAAATTAATAACTCTAGGTATATGAGTTTTATTGAAAGCACAGAATTTCGTAAACTAAATACAATGTACGTGAGAATAAATTATCATATATTAATGATAACAGACAGTAGCTGCAAATGCTCATATTTTCTTCACAAATTATAATAAAACAATTAATGTGAATGATGGAACTCTTTTTCCATTCTTAAAATCTGATTAAATTGAGGTTCAAATTTTGAAACGCTAATCACAAGTAGCGACTTTAAATGTTCATCAGATAAATTTGCCCTGTATTTCGACTTGATGTACTTCATCTGGGAAAAAAGTTTGTTCACATAGATATGTCTGTCGTCCCAAAAATGGAGATAAATTTACAAGCAAATTTCTTTAAATTTGGAAATTGCTCAGAGTTCAGAAATTTATAAAATTCGATAAAATTTCCTTCCTTGTATTTGTCTTTAATATGATAATTTTCCTGAAGTTCAACAATTTCCATTTGAATTTGACATCTGCAGCATCACAGTCAAACGGATTTTGAAACAATCTAATTTCCTGAGCACTGGAATCCAAATCAGCAAATCGATTCCGAAATTGTTGTTTCAAATCTGAAATGACTAAATTTGCAAACGAGGAAGGAAATTCTGCTTCACCCTTTTTATGCAACTCTGCACAGTATAGCATATGAACAAAGTTACAATTTTTCACTTGGCTTTCCAGAAGTATCAACTTTGCTCTGAATGCCTTGATAAGTGCAAATAAATCACAGACTAAGTTATTTTCACCCTGCAACTTTAAATTCAAATTGTTCATATGGTTCACCAGATCAGCAAAAAATGCTAATTTCCAAAGCCACTTGGTATCTGATAAAAGTGGTTCGTGATGGTTGTCTCGGTAAGAAATATATCAATTTCATTCCTGAGCTGAAAGAAGCGCGAAAGAACCTTTCCACAGCTAAGCCATCGAACTGCAGTATAATATGTCAGGTCAATAAGCTCAGAATCACATTCACCAGTACTCATTAGAAAATTAGTTCAATTGGCGCATTTCTGAACAATTCTTTTGCGGGCCGGATAAAATCACGTCGCAGGCCGGATGTGGCCCGCGGGCCGTAGTTTGGTGACCCTTGTTCTATGGGAACGAGGGTGTGTCATCATGAGTTAGTGACGTAGACCAATATATCATTCAAATTTACTGAATTTTATTTTGAACATACATCTGGTATTCATATGTCTGTGGGGAAATTTGGACATACTGTACCTATACAGGACTTTTCATCCATAAGGTTGCCTACAAGAGGTATAATATACCCCTGGTTCATAGAGGAGATGCACTTTATTTGTTTTACAATGGAAAGAAATGTCTTACAAGGGAAATGTAAGAATTACATGCATTTTTAGATGATCACCCATACCAGTATTCAAGTCAAATAACAGTATGAAAATCATAATCCAATAAAAACTCACTTTGAACAAAAAAGTATGTTTTGATGCTTGTGGAGTACTGACTTTTCCATAGATGAGCTATACATTGGATCACAATGTCAGGAGCTAATACTGAATTTAGAATGTGAAGTTTCATAATTTTCTTTGAATACATTCACGAAAAGGAACATTTGTTTTCTCTTTTCATTTTTCCTACCACAGTTCAGCTACAGCTGTGAAGCCAGTGATTTTAAATTGAACTTTTAAAACACAAACCACTAGTAATTTTTCTGAACTGTGCTCTGGATATATTTTTTCTTTATGGAATAATTCGGTAACAGAAAACATAATAAATCTATTTTTGTCAAATTATGGAAATTGAGAGCATTGATTTTACTGAGGCTGTTTTTGGAGAAGAAAATATATGTTGCATATTTTGGCTTAGGGGAATTGCCAGTAGGTAGATGGACAAGCAGAGAGAGATTGTAAAACTCTCTAAATACAGATATTTGCATGAAGGACAGAATAAGTCTTGAGGTTATGAAAAAAATTGTTCATTGGGTGTGTATTATATTCTCACATGTTTGGGTGATTAAGACACAGGTTTGGATTGGTGATTGGATTTATTTATTTATTTATTTTCACCTACAGGTTATAACTACAATTGATTATTACACTATTGCTGCTTTACACAATGTACAATCACTCCACACTAAGCTCTTCAGTCTATCTGCACTAGTCTTCGTGGGTTTGTAACCCAGGAGCTCTTAACAGTCTCCTTGAATCACACACTCCAAATATTATACATAAATACAGTCTTTAAATCACATGTTAAATCCTCACAGGCCAACCACCTGTACTGTTCTGTACTGCTGGTTCCAATTCACTCTGTTTGCATGCTTCCGCCACTACTATTTCTTGTAACTACCCTCAGATGAACTTTGTAACTGCCTTGGTTATTCTTAGAATCTCATTATACAGCCGTGGCATTGACCACAGTAAACACAGTTCTGTTGTAAGAACCATTGCATAACCTAGCAACTGGTCACATAGAACCCTTTTCCTACTGTGTAATATTTGAGGTTTTCAGCGCAGTGACTATGAAGTTAGTAGTCTTCTGGGATGTGGCTCTGTGTAGATGTGGTGTTAATCGACCTTTCGGAGGAACGTATCGCCTCCATCTTCAGGGTAGAAGGAAAATAAAATCTGCAAGCGAAGAAACGGTGAGAGCAGGTGGAAGCAGACTCATGTCGGAAACAAACTCAGCTATATGAGAGCAGGAAAGGAAGGGACAGGTCTACATGGGAAATCAGTGGAGTGGGAGAGGGGGGAGGGGTCTGGGGAGCAGGAGCAAGGTTAGAGCAGGTATAGGATATTGTGT